CTTTGTAAACAAAAATGATACAAATATAGACCCAGTATACTGGTGGCAAACGTGAATCGCAGATTCGCTACAAATTAATCGGTCTAGTCAATGTTAGAAATGGGACTCAACAGCTGAAGTTCAATCTTCTAGAATACAGTAACCTAAGCGTATAGGCCAATTACACAATGTTCCTGCTTTTCTAATTAATTTCAATAGTTATAGCCTACCGATGGTCGATATGGAAACCAACCGATTTGAGAGAAGAATTAATAATAGCCTACCGATAGTCGATACGGAACCCAACTGATTCTAGAGAAGAATTAATATACATGACTCATGCTGTTAGTGTACTTTGTATTTTGCGTGGGCCCCATTGGGTTTACACTAACGTGATAATTCCATTGTTAGCCGCGTACACACACTTGTCCAGCTTCAAGAACCCACCGACATGGTGGAGGATGATGACAGAACACAGTGAGGAACAAGTAGAGATGTGACAGCAGAGCGACGTCAGTGTGGGAGAGGGAGGCGAACCTGCTACCGGACGGCTTGTAACGAGGGTTAACCAATGTTCCAGACTCAATGGCTTCCCCCCCCCTCTACCACGACAACCACCACCACCACTATTACCACCACAGTGGTTTGCAACACAATTAGTGCCAGAGCTAAGAGGGTTTAGCTATAAGGATAAGCTAATGGAACTATAAGGATAAGCTAATGGAACTACATCTCACAACCCTAAGACATAAGCAGAAGGGATATGATCACAACGCACAAGATACTGTGTGGGGGGGGATGGGCAGGACAGCATCTCTAAATTTAGAAAAAGTAGGACGAGAAGACGACAGTGAGTTGAAAACGCAAATAAGTCTAAGAAATGTAAAGACATTCATACACTATACTGGTGGCCAACACGTGGAATGCATTTAAAGAAGTTGTAGAAGACGCCTCAATCCCCAACTTTAACAAGATTTCCCAACTAAATTCGACAAAAATATTCGAACGTCAGAATAGATAAATTATAACGCAACATGTAAAATAAGACCAGTAGGCGAGACATAAACAGCTAGATCTCACTCCCACGAAAATACCGATATTTAAATACCACCAATAACTATCTACGGGCTCACCATAGCCCGTGCTACTTGGAACTTTTTGTTCCAAGTAGCGAATCTTTAACAACAACAACAACAAATATCACCACATTACTATTACCATAACCCTCGTCCCCCTCCCCTAGTGACACCAAATATGTTGTTTTAGATTTAGCTACTCAGAAACCAAATATGCAGTGACACTATTTACATACGTGTCATGTGGTGACATGACACCACACCTACACACTTAATGTAATTAATAACCAAAATTTAAGAGAAAATTGTACCTACATCACTATGAAAACATTGCAGACGATGTCACAATAACGTGACTAAAGGTGTGACGACCTAGTTCGTCCTCTTTAAGGTTCCCCAACGTCAAGAAACTGTCGTTGTAAAGTGCCCTTATCCTAACCTACCAGAGAACCCAAAACAGAAAATGGGATAACGTGTCAATTTCGAGAGCCGCTACTATTATCTAATACGACAATTTTTGGCCTTAGAGTATACGTCAAAATACGATGTTCTATTAGGATGGATTGGATGACAAACCTCACATCAGAAAATGGAAAAACGACGACGTTTCTCCAATGAAAATATTGTTTTCTTAGCTTTCTTAGCTGTATAGACAATTATCAGGACAACTTGCAGTGGTGGGTGTGGAGGTGAACTTTTACAATAGTCCGTAAACAAATGAACGTTCACGCTTCATTGTCTATACAGTATACCTAGGTCATAAAAGTATTTGTGTGTACGTCTGATACCATACTACTTGTGAAGGAGGAAATGTATATGTTTACCTCTCAGAATGTTTGGTAATGTTTATTTGTGATGTGTGTCTATGTATATATTAACACGTTGTACTGAACGGGGTGAGAATAGCTTCAGCTACCTCATCCCTTTGTGTGTATTTTACCTCAATAAACTTATTTCAATTTCAATTTCACGCTTCATCGTATTTGGAGCTATGCCGGGAGCCGGTCGACCTAGCGGACAGCACGCTGGACTTGTGATCCTGTGGTCCCGGGTTCGATCCCGGGCGCCGGTGAGAAACAATGGGCAGAGTTTCTTTCAACTTCTGCCCCTGTTACCTAGCAGTAAAATAGGTACCTGGGTGTTAGTCAGCTGTCACGGGCTGCTTCCTGGGGGTGGAGGCCTGGTCGAGGACCGGGCCGCGGGGACATTAAAGCCCCGAAATCATCTCAAGATAACCTCAAGAAGATACGGGCCAAATTCGTGTAGTCTAAGCTTACTCCAACTGAAGTCAATAAATTTGTATGGTACTTGCAAAACAAAACATATTTTACTTTCAGTTTATCAAAATTCGGTAAAACTAATGATGAAACGAAAATAAAATAATGACGTTAATTTCTTATTTCCAGTCCGGAATATTAAGCTCATGGCGAGATAGCACCACCTCCTCCCCGTCACCTATATGATTGCTGTCTAACCCCAACTCAACATGCAACATCTGTACATTACTTGCAACGTGCCAATAACGTACAGCGCCACTATTGCTAACAACAGTACATCTCAAAAGTTAAATCGCGCACTAATTACGTATGTTACGACAAAAAAACAAAATATTAAACATCGAGACTAGTGTTGAAGGGCAGACGAGTGCTTGCGATAAACTCTGTTTACATTACGCGTCACGTCAGCCATGAGCGATCAACAGACAAGGCGGAGGTGCGGCTCGGCCCATGACTGCCGCTGCTCCGGCCCGCCCACGTTCCCCGCCATGACTCCACTGTTTGCTATCTCCATGTCAGCGACACGCCAACCCTCGTCATCCTCAGGTCATGATAACATATCGGGGTAAATACGCGGATTAGCTATGAAGATACACTTAGCTGGATTTAGATCGACAGCACAGCTAAGCCGTCGCTTATGAATCAAACTGCGCACTTTTTATCCATGATATACTCTGTTGCGCTTACTGAGCAAGAATGCAAGCAGCTCGACGCTTACTGGGCGAGACTGCAAACAGATCGACCCTTACTGGGCGAGAATGCAAGCAAATCTACGCTTACTGGGCGAAAATGCAAGCAAATCGACACTTACTGGGCGAAAATGCAAGCAAATCGACGCTTACTGGGCGAAAATGCAAGCAAATCGACGCTTACTGGGCGAAAATGCAAGCAAATCGACGCTTACTGGGCGAAAATGCAAGCAAATCGACGCTTACTGGGCGAAAATGCAAGCAAATCGACGCTTACTGGGCGAAAATGCAAGCAAATCGACGCTTACTGGGCGAAAATGCAAGCAAATCGACGCTTACTGGGCGAAAATGCAAGCAAATCGACGCTTACTGGGCGAAAATGCAAGCAAATCGACGCTTACTGGGCGAAAATGCAAGCAAATCGACGCTTACTGGGCAAAAATGCAAGCAAATCGACGCTTACTGGGCAAAAATGCAAGCAAATCGACGCTTACTGGGCGAAAATGCAAGCAAATCGACGCTTACTGGGCGAAAATGCAAGCAAATCTACGCTTACTGGGCGAAAATGCAAGCAAATCGACGCTTACTGGGCGAAAATGCAAGCAAATCGACGCTTACTGGGCAAAAATGCAAGCAAATCGACGCTTACTGGGCAAAAATGCAAGCAAATCGACGCTTACTGGGCAAAAATGCAAGCAAATCGACGCTTACTGGGCGAAAATGCAAGCAAATCGACGCTTACTGGGCGAAAATGCAAGCAAATCGACGCTTACTGGGCGAAAATGCAAGCAAATCGACACAGCAAAGACGCGTGTATATACCCCCCCAAGTGGATGGGAATGTAATCAGCAGGTAGCTTACTGGATGAAAATGCAAACTTTAAACAATTTAATGGTAAGGAAAGTGTTGGAGTGATTTGAACGAGGGGGGTTGTGGAAGTTGCGGGATGGTTGTGGGTGAAAATAGATGCCAAATACCCACAGTAACTGCTGCTAATCATCTGAACTATCAATGACTATCATCGATAATCTTCCAAGTCATTTGGTTACAACTCACTACCTATCATTATGTCAATAAGGCCCTATAACCACCAAGTATGACGTGGCTAATATAAACACACTGACATCTTACTCTAGCATGTTGTACCGAAGACGTTATCACAAGATATCGCTGCTATCAGGCAGAGGTCAGGTATGGTTGCTGCAGCTGGAGCCAACTTGCCATGTAAGACTAAATTTATGACTCCTCAAGTTAAAAGTTTTATTGAAGAGAAAATTCAATGTTCATCTTTAAATTGATGAAGTTTTGAATAGGATTAATGTATTTTAGAAAATATTCAAACATTTACGTGTCAAGGAGCCGAGGGAAACCGGACAGCTAAAGATGTTCACCAGCTTTTGATCACATGATTGTAATCTTTGTGATCACATGATTGTGATCTTTGTGATCACATGATTGTGATCTTTGTGATCACATGATTGTGATCTTTGTGATCACATGATTGTGATCTTTGTGATCACATGATTGTGATCTTTGTGGTCACATGATTGTGATCTTTGTGGCCACATGATTGTGATCTTTGTGGCCACATGATTGTGATCTTTGTGGCCACATGATTGTGATCTTTGTGGCCACATGATTGTGATCTTTGTGGCCACATGTTTGTGATCTTTGTGGCCACATGTTTGTGATCTTTGTGGCCACATGATTGTGATCTTTGTGGCCACATGATTGTGATCTTTGTGGCCACATGATTGTGATCTTTGTGGTCACATGATTGTGATCTTTGTGGTCACATGATTGTGATCTTTGTGGTCACATGATTGTGATCTTTGTGGTCACATGATTGTGATCTTTGTGGTCACGAGTGCGGGAAAACATTTACTGAACTAGGAAATTTGAAGACTCACCAGTTAAAGCATTTGGATAAAACTTTTGAGTGTGTTGTGTGTCGGAAAAGATTCAGTCAACGTGGAGCAATGAAGAGGCACATGCTAGTGCACAAAGATGAGCTTCATAAGCCTCACGAGTGCCCAGAATGTGGGGACACATTCACTCGCCTCGAACATTTGAAAAGTCACGAGATGTTGCATACAGAGGATAAACCTCATCAGTGTCCCGAGTGTGGGGAAACATTCAGTCGTCTCGGAACTCTGAAGAGGCACTGGATGGTGCATACGGATGACAAGGATGACACATCCCACGAGTGTCCCGATTGTGGGAAAATATTTTCTCAGCTTGGAAACATGAAAATTCACAGATTGATACATCGCAGTTATAAACGTTTTGAATGTGCTGAATGTGGGAAAACATTCAGGAAACATTACAAGATAGTAAATCACATGTCACTGCATTCATCTGATGAAGCTCACTTACGTCCTCTGTAAGAATAGATTTAAACACCTCATTAGTGCTGTATGGGTATGATTGTGAGATGCTAGACCCACTGATATCATCGTCTGCAGACCATCGGGGCCTGTGTGATCAGCTTCACACTGCAGACCATCGGGGCCTGTGTGATCAGCTTCACACTGCAGACCATCGGGCCCTGTGTGATCAGCTTCACACTGCAGACCATCGGGGCCTGTGTGATCAGCTTCACACTGCAGACCATCGGGGCCTGTGTGATCAGCTTCACACTGCAGACCATCGGGGCCTGTGTGATCAGCTTCACACTGCAGACCATCGGGCCCTGTGTGATCAGCTTCACACTGCAGACCATCGGGCCCTGTGTGATCAGCTTCACACTGCAGACCATCGGGCCCTGTGTGATCAGCTTCATACTGTAGACCATCGGGCCCTGTGTGATCAGCTTCACACTGCAGACCAACGGGGCCTGTGTGATCAGCTTTTGCCAGTAACTGATTTATGTGCAATATAGGTTTATGTATTACATTGTAGGCCTATGTACAGTACTCATTCACTGCTTTTGTCAATTATGCATAAATAAATTGAGCTATTACACACACACACAGACACACACACACACTGGCTAACATCAGAACAGCGTTCAGGAACCTGTGTAAGGAATCATTCAGAATCTTGTACACCACATATGTAAGACCAATCCTGGAGTATGCGGCCCCAGCATGGAGCCCGTACCTTGTCAAGCACAAGACGAAGCTGGAAAAAGTCCAAAGGTATGCCACTAGACTAGTCCCAGAACTAAGAGGCATGAGTTACGAGGAAAGGCTGCGGGAAATGCACCTTACGACACTGGAAGACAGAAGAGTAAGGGGAGACATGATCACAACCTACAAAATCCTCAGAGGAATCGACCGGGTAAACAAGGATAAACTATTCAACACTGGTGGGACGCGAACAAGGGGACACAGGTGGAAACTGAGTACTCACATGAGCCACAGAGACGTTAGAAGGAACTTTTTCAGTGTCAGAGTAGTTAACGGATGGAATGCATTAGGCAGTGATGTGGTGGAGGCTGACTCCATACACAGTTTTAAATGTAGATATGATAGAGCCCAGTAGGCTCAGGAATCTGTACACCAGTTGATTGACAGTTGAGAGGCGGGACCAAAGAGCCAAAGCTCAACCCCCGCAAGCACAAATAGGTGAGTACAAATAGGTGAGTACAGACACACACACACACACACTGTAAATTGAAGTGAAATGAACATATAAACCAACTAACATGATCATCATAGCTCTCCCCCCTACAACGTGAGTCAGCAAAATTGAATTGCACGAATCCATGGTCCTAATGACCCCCCCCCCCCCCCTCACCCAGTTTACTTAATGTATGAAAGAAAAAGAAAAATTCGATACTTGGATTTTTCTCTGAGGGCTCCCTTGGTGCCTCCCTGTTCCTAACCACCTTGATAGCTCAACACATCACGTCACACACTTATGTGTCATTAAAAGCCTATCGGACACCACAGGCCAAAACCTGGTCCTTTCATGAATGCGCAGGGAGCTGGGGATGCTAGATCACTGGGGGGGCCTCGTAGCCTGGTGGATGGCGCGCAGGACTCGTAATTCTGTGGCGCGGGTTCGATTCCCACACGAGGCAGAAACAAATGGGCAAAGTTTCTTTCACCCTGAATGCCCCTGTTACCTAGCAGTAAATAGGTACCTGGGAGTTAGTCAGCTGTCACGGGCTACTTCCTGGGGGTGGAGGCCTGGTCGAGGACCGGGCCGCGGGGACACTAAAAAGCCCCGAAATCATCTCAAGATAACCTCAAGATGATTGTGATCTTTGTGGTCACATGATTGTGATCTTTGTGATCACATGATTGTGATCTTTGTGATCACATGATTGTGATCTTTGTGGTCACATGATTGTGATCTTTGTGATCACATGATTGTGATCTTTGTGGTCACATGATTGTGATCTTTGTGGTCACATGATTGTGATCTTTGTGATCACATGACTTAATTACATGTTTAATCTCGACTTTGTGAAACTAGTCTTATGTGCTAAAATTAATGCCCAGAAGTACATTTGTAAGATTTCTTGTAATTGCTGTTAATAATAATGTAATATTGCATATATTGTAGCAAAACCTTTAGAAAATATTTTATATGCTATTTCAACATTGGATATTACAGAAATGTTACAAATTTTATTAAGTGATGTTCAATTTCACGCAACATTACCTTACCTTGCAGTGGACTTACATATTTGTATAACAAAAACTTGCCTGTTATAGTCACCAAGCATGTATGTATTAAGTACGTCTGAGGTTTTAATGTAATTACCATGAAATTCCAATGTTAATGTTTGATTTGCTAATTTTGAATGTCTACCGCAGTGTGTATTCCCCATTATCATTGCATCCAAAATATCTATCACGATTGTTATTGATTCCCCTTAGTCATTATTATCTCGGCCGCCTCTAACCCTTATTCCCTCACCACTGTCAATTTTTCTTCCCATTTTCCCCAGGTGTTGACTACAGGTGCCTTGGGGTACCGTCGTCGTTCTCTTCAGTGCTCCAAAACTGCCACTTGTGACCTGTTTTGAATCGCCAGTACGTAGCCTAATTGGGCAGAGAAAGAAATTTGTTTTAACTATACCAACAAACCGGCACGATTTTTCCCCCCTAGTAAAAATCTTCTTTCTATGCTCTCAAGAGTCGTGCCTCTTGCCACCTTACCAACATTAGAGATCAAACCGAGACATCCATAATTTAAGTCCCCCAACGAGAGAATTTACACACATTATCTCACTTGGCATATTTAGCCACCTTTCTGTTGTCTGGAGTTTCAACCTTCAAGAACCCGCCGATCATTTTTCCTCAACACTACTTTCGTGTGATGCTCCCCCTCTTTCTGGAGAAAGGAAAACCATTTCCTTATATCCAGCCATTCACTAAATTCCTTGGTCAGTCCAACTATTGGTGGAATGTCATTTCATAAGGCTGCAAATAACAGCCTCCCTCCCTCCCTCCTGATTATATGATCGTCTTACTGAGTTGGCCAGGCTTTCTGTACATCGTGCCGCTGATATGCTTCCTGAAACCTCATTTTTTTGATCTTGATTATTTTATCCCACTTCTGCTGACGATTATAACTTCTATTTGAAACTTATCTTACCAGACGTCTTGACAATAGCTTCTCTTCTACCTGCATTGTGCCTGGATGGTGTTCTGAGAGTTGTTCCACTCCCCCAAGGCCAGGCTCGACTTGGGAGAGCTTGGTCTAACAGGTTGTTACTTGTAGTGGCCCGCAGGCCCACATATCCACTACAGCCTGGTTGATTTGATTTATAACTTACTGAAATCACGAATCAGCAAATTATGAAACCTTTCTTCAGTGTCGTTCTCCGACAAGACGTTTGCACGCTACTCACGCAACCGAGCCATTACCTTCTCCAACACTGTCTCACAGGCCACACTTGGTTAAAAAGACACCACAACCGTTCACCAGATGTCATCTCATTCCTTAAAATGCTAACATAACTGGTGTGTAGGAGACTAGAGTAGCAGATTACACTTAGTATCTCTCCTCCGCCATTTGTGGCCAGAGAACTGTTTTAAACACAGGGGACCACATAGGATACGTTCATTTGTATTTTCTTGTCGAGAACTCTAAATGTACTTACATTTGATGGTCGTATTTGTTCCACAGTTCTTTCACATAGTATGTTCACTTTACAGCGATTAAGCCAAGCTAGGCTACTTGCTTGGCTTATAATAAACTTTGTTTATTTTTAAATTTTTGTTTATAATAAATATTTGTTTATTTTCAGTTATTTATAACCACTAGTTGCAGGTTGTGTCAGGAGTAAAACATCCATGGACATAAAATATCTGGCAGATGAATTATAAAGCTCACTGACATTATTACCAGACAAATAGGAGTTTATATTTTAATGTTATTTCTGTATACAACCGAATATTTAATTTGTATTTTGTCTTGTGTACGAAGTTTTATATTAGATTGGTTATTAAGCTGGCAGTAAACTGGTAGTATTTCAAATAAGAATATTTGATCATCATTTATATTTGTGTTTAAATTTAATGACGTATTTACCACTATATATCAGGACCCAGATTCACAAAGCAGTTACGCAAGTACTTACGAATGTGTACATCTTTTCTCAATCTTTGACGGCTTTGATTACATTTATTGAACACTTTACAAGCATGAAAACTTCCCAATCAACTGTTATAAACAGTCTCGTGGTGCTTCAGAGCTCATTAACTGTTTAATAATTGTAAACAAAGCCACCAAAGATTGAGAAAAGATGTACAGGTTCGTAAGTGCTTACGTAACGGCTTCGTGAATCTGGCCCCTGATCAGTCTAGCGATGCCACCACGCGACCACAACGATACCTAACGCCAATTTTTTTTCTTTTTTCCTTATCTATGAACCCCCACCCAACCTGCATGTCCTCGCCTGGCATTTCAGTCCCCATTTGTAAGTCAGTTTTACTGTCGTAGCGTTTGACAAATCTTTACTAAATTCCACGACAAATCTCCTACGTCTAATGTAAAGATAAAACACAGTTCCATCGGGGCTCCTACGTCTGCTGATATTTGAAATTCTATCAGATTTCGTCTTGTTCCCGCAACAGGTTCACCCAAGCCCAGGGCTGCGTACTAAGCAGCGCAGTCGAGTGCATCTCCGTCCACTCAACCCACGACACGGTTATACTCTTACATAATACCAGCGTGACCTTCCAACGCGCCAGTGATGCGAGCTGAGGGAGCAACTCAACCGGATATAGTGCCGGCGCAACCTTAATGGGCAAGTCATCTTGTGTACCGGTTCTCAACTGTTCATAATCCAACGCACAATATTAACGTTATTGCCGTTATTAACCCCTATTTTAAAGCAGTGTGTAATAGACTAACGGATTCAGGTGGTTTGTGGTTTCAAACAGTACGGAGGCTATACAGACTTTGAAGGTTTCGTATAGCTATAGCTACTCCTGTTTCCAACAGCAGATGTAACAGTGCTAATCCTGTTTCCCAGCAGCAGCAGAGGAAACAATGTCTGCCTACCAACAGTAGGCAACAGGGCGAACATTGCCCTCCTATTTTAGACGCAGATGTGCGAGCAAACTCGGTGATCCATTATGCTGCAAATTTACAGGAATATATTTTCTGTCGCTTAGGTGGCTATATATTTCACTCTCCATTTCACCACAAATTGTGCAGCTAGACCTCTGGCGCAGGCCACGGGGTAGAGTGGCAATAACGCCACAGAAAATTAGCAAACAATATAACTGGATCGTTGCTACAAGATTCCAGACTAGTTTTAATCATGCAAATGTAGGCGGAAGCGACAGAGGAGTAAAGACACATACACTCAGATGCACTGAAATAATTGGACCAAGTGTTTTAATTTCATTTTCAGATACTACACAAAACAATGTGGTATTCGGCGGGGGCCTGACTAAATTTGGTCCCTTGTTT